CAGAGACACACACACAGCGTTCCATGCATGAGGGACACACACATTCACACACACAGACCAATATAATATTATTTTCATGCAATGATTGTAAAACGTTCCAATCTGGAACCTAAGATTTCTTCAGGTTTCATTACTTTTAAACTAAAACATTAAACATATACTAATATATATGCATCTCTGTGGATTGCTTTAATCTACAGGATATTAAATTTAATTTCACTCTTCAATTATAAGTTTAAAAATATCTAAAATTATTAAACTCATTTTTAGTATAATATTTTTATAATTTATACCAATTAAATTTTTTAAATTACAAATAAATACTTAGCTAGAGACCAATGCCATTTCTTTTTAAAATTTAATTTTGACCAAACACTTTAATCAATTTACAAAATAGTATTTTGGTCTTTTACGGGAAAAAGAAATAGAATTTGTCTCTTAATATTTATTTGTAATTTAAAAAATTTAATAGATATTAATTTTTTTATAAGATACTTATTCATAACTTTTTTGGTTTTTTCTATTAATTTTTTTATGTCTTTTTCTAATCAACTAATAGTTATAGTAAACTTTTGTTAACAGTGTGGATCATATTATATCGTTTTCAAATATCAAAAAGAAACACTATATAAAAAATAAGTTTAAAGTCTCAAACACTTTTTGATTTATAATTTAAAAGTAAATTTGCCCTTTAACCTTAATTTATTTTGCTAGTTAAAAATATTATTCATATAAGCATAAAACGTAAAAGGAGTCAGTGGTAGAGTTCATAAGCTGTGAATATTATTGCAGCTCATTTTAAACACTATATCAATACAAGGGTTCACTTCGGTCGAACTTGAAAATATAATATGCATTACATGTGCGCGCGCGCAATTTTTTAATCATGCTTCCCAATATCCATTTAAGATCTTATCCCAAATTGCCATTGTGGACAGTTAAGGCTAAGAGATGTTTGTGGGTCCATTATAAGATGAAGGTTGAAAAAAATGAGTCGTTTGTAAGAATAATATGTCACATAAATATGACACCACGCTATTAAGATGCTGATTTTTGTGGTATATATGAGATACCTTGCGAGAATTTTGATACCTATTATCGGATTTTTCTGGATGCTTTCTTGCTATTTTTGGCATCTTTAATCAACTTTTTATATTGGCGTGAATTGTACCGTCTGGAATATATATATATATATATATATAGAATTTGATCTTGCAATTTAATCAACCTTGGATTGATCTTTTGTCCATAAATAGAATTTGAGATTCCCAAAGTTAATCAGACTTATCAATGGCAAAATTAACTGGACCCCAGTTTCGGATATATCCATTCAGTTCTCATTTTATTTATTATTAATGTAGAAAAATAACAATTCTCATTGTAAAAACTTGTGCTATAATAACAGATTTAATTTTTTTTGAAAAAAAATCATTTGAATTTTATAAAAAATAAAAAATAGATCCATGATCATATCGATAAACTGTATTAATATATTTATATTGATATTGATTAACACTCACTTAACTCTCTTTATTATTTTTTAAATTTCCTTCTCTAACATATGCATGTGGAACATGACAACATGTTAAAGTTTATTGAAAATGAGTGTCAAATAAAAAACCCCTCCACAATACCTTATGAAGGAAGCAAATTACTTTTGAGGCAAATTTTGGGGAAAACTTCGTGTTAGCTGATGCTCAAGCCCAACACAAATATGTTAGAAAAGGGATCAATTTCTATTATGTCAAAAAATATGCATAAAAAAGAATTAAGAGCTTTTGTGAATATACCCTATGTTATAGTACCGTATCAAATAAATACCTTAATTTTTATTATATTTTACAGTATGGTCGATTTATTATATTCGTTAATGATATATCATTATATATTAATGATAAGCTTATCGTAAATTTTTAAATTTTTAATAAAAAGAAACTAATATTGGGCCCAACTGTTTACTAGCCCACTTTAAGTTAGCAAATGTCTTACTTTTACATCAATTGCTTCAAATTAAACGGAAAGAATGCTTCATTTTGGGAATACGGGCTGGACCCGCCGGGCTACTTGTTCAACTCCTTTTGTATTTTCAGGCTAGAACTTTGAAAATTGGGATATTTTTAATAATGACAGTTTAGTTTTAAAATATTAAATTAATAATAATGAAGTTTTTAATAATTTTTTTAAAAATAAGTTGAAAATATCAATTCATATTATTATAAATTTAAGAATTTTAATTGTAAATAAGTATTTAAATATCAAACGTAATAAAAAATTTTGTTTGTGATTTTTTAAATTGATATTTATAATTTATTCTGTAAAAAATTTTATCAGAAATTTAACTCTCATTGATTAATTCATTTGGGATTTAACTATCATTCTCTCCTTAAAAAATAAGTTCAAGTTACCTGTTTAAATTCATATTTATTTTAACCCTGAAAATTGAGGTATTTTATATCTTGAGATTAAATTTAAATTTTAAAATATGTGTTTGTACTTTAAAATTAAAATTTATATTACTTAATTTAAATTTTTGAACATTTTAGCATGCACTTTAGAACATAAATATTTAATATTATAATGGCAAGTTAACTTTTAAAAGTTTGACTTTTAGGCTCAACTCTGAACTCAAATAAAAATGAAGTTTTAAAAATGATCAATTTAAGAGTGAACGGAATTCAAATCCCATGCACAAAGGGGTCACCTGTTTCTGGGCTTTAGATTTCAATCCCTCGTTGTTTAATTTACTTTTGTTAGCAGACTAAGGCCCTACTTTGTACCAGAAAAAAGAAAGATGTTGGGCTGAATAGAAAAATAAGTTTAAAAAAATTGGACCAAAAAAAAAAAGGATAAGTTGATTGCAGCTAAGTAATGTAGAGTTAATGACAGGGTTAGTTTGAGTGATAAGTGGTTTGGTTTTGTTTAAGTAAGATTTCGGGTTCGAATCTTATATATGTAGAAAACCTTCACTAAAATACTCACCCACCATAATCAGGTGTGCGGCATAGGTCAAATTTGAATTAGTCTGGACAAAATTTTAGCTATCTGGGACACAAAAAAAAAAGTAGAGTTTGGGAATATGAGATAATGAGAGTGCATGGATTACTTACAAATGAGGGATGGGTTATCTATATTTACTACCATAGTGATTAATTTTATTTCCCTCCACAAATCAAACTGTTAGCTTACTGCTAAGTCATCTACGTTAAACCAAAGTATCACTCTTTAAACATAAATTATATCTAAAAATTATTCAAGTTATCCAAAAAAATTAACGTGCATATTGTTTTTTTTTCACTTTTTTTTATTCGTATCTCAATTTTTTTAACAATGCAGACATATTTGTTTAGTATTCAATAAATAGATAAATAAGTTTGCTAAAATAATATTTCAAACACACATGTAAAAAAACATAATAAAATATACTCAATACAATTTATGTTTATTTTTTCTTTAAATTTAATATTTTTAATAAAATATATTTAAATTATTTATTTAATTATGCTCATAATTAATGAATTAAAGTTTCTTAAATTGGGGGATAGAGTAGTTAATTAATTAATTATTTAAATATGCCCACAATTTTTATTAATACAATCCTATATGCTGTATTTTTTTATTTTAAATTTAATTTTTTAGTCTATTTTTTTACTTAAATAATTATACTTTTTTTTTATTGATTTACATCGCTGTCGTAGCTCAGCTCGTAAGCATTTGTTATTCATATTAGCATATTTTAATTGCATTATCTCTTATTTAAATAATAAAGATCAAATTAATAATTAATACAAATTTAAAGGACTGAATGGATAAAAATTAAATTTGAGGGTTTAAGTTGAAAACTGAGAGTTTGAGACAAATTTTCATTATCCCATAATTAAATATTTTATCCTTCTTAAATTATAAAACACCTTTAGAAGATAGGTAAAAAGTAACATTAAAAAATATTATTAATAAAATGTTATTTTTATTAAAATGTATTATACTTTAGGAAATAAAATTTTTCTAATAAATATTTTATAATTTAGAATGAAAGTAGTGTTTTAAAATTTTTAACATAATATTGTTAATGATGTTAACAATGGGACTGATGGCACGGTTGTTTGACAAAATTAATTAATTTTAAATGTTAAAATTGTGGTGTTGTGAAAATATATCTAACCACCTTTATTACATGCTAAAATCAATTACTCAATTTGGTCCAAAATTTAAGGATATAAATTTTGTAAAATTTTTTTTCCATTTATCCATTGTATTTATTAATTTAGATTCTTTTTTTATCAATAAAATTTTAGGTGAGTTAAATCTTAAGGCCTTTTTAGGGCCAAAGCATTCCTTCAGACTCAAAAAATACTTAAGAGATACTTATATATTACCTATCAATCAGGTTTTTACATCGGTAATGTAATTTGGTCTCAAAATCTTATGAGTTATGAGTTAAATTCTTATAAATTAAATCAATCTTTGTTGATTACTATATTAGACTCTTCTATCTATTAATTTAAGACTTTTTCCTTAGTCATTATAAATTGGAACTATGGGATTTTATTGGAATGCATGTTATTATTAAAAACTCCTTATATTTTAAAATTATGGTTTTCAGAAAATATCCAAATAGTTAAAGTGTTTGAATATATTTTCACAAAATTATAAATTTACCAAATTTTTAATTCTACTTAAAATCAATTCTATAAATTAATTATTTTACATAATGTAATTAATTATATTTAAAATTAATCATATAAATAAATTCTAGATATAAAAGTAGTTCTTAAAGTGTATGTTTTGAAAATGTTGGCGATATGTTTGTAATTTTAATTTTATCAAGTGGGAAGGGCGGTGAACGTATTTCGCAGGTAATAAATGAGGAACCCATGGCCACGTTTTACAATGAGGACGTGACACGCAAACGCTGTCGCATAATCTGAATCCAACAACAACAGTGGAAAGTGATTACTGATTACTGATTACTGATTACTGATTACTGATTTTAGGGTGCTTTTGATAGGAGCAACCTTCTTGTTTCTCTCTGGTTCCTATGCCAACACATCATCATCAGTTCATCACTCAAGCATCTCAACCTCATCTTCATCCCTCTCCTGCCGAAGCCCCTTCTTCTCATTCTTCAACGCAATCTCCCAAATGTCCACCGCCAGAATTCAACCCACGGCATGTGCTCTCTCCTCCACTATCAAAAAAGGCCTCCGCCTCGGCCCCCACCCTTCCCTTTCTACCCCCTGTTTCAACCATTGCGCCATCCGTGGCCGTGGAACGCTCCGGAAGGCCCTTAGGGTATCTATGTCTTCTGCTCCCTCGTCCAGCCCTCTTGAGATTTGCGTCAAAGCTTCTATTACCACTCCCACCAAGCTTGGCGACTGTAATGAATTTACCTCTCTTTTCACCTGTTACTGCTCCTGTCGTTAATCTTCTGTTTGGGTTTCTTAGATGTATTGCATTCATCTTTTTTTGTTTTGGAGGGATTCAAATTGGTTCTTTTGGGGGATTGGGGACGCAAATTGAAATTAAGCTTTTGCTGTAAATTTGCACAGTTCGTGTAATGAATTCGCGCCATACGAGGAGAAAAATTAAAATGGATGGTTTTGCAATTGTGGTTTAGTGTGTCTGTTCTTTAGAATGATGGGACTTATCTAGTAAAAGAAAATCCAGAATTAGAAATTCATCGTGTTGGGTGTGAAATCCGGCGTTCGACATCGTCATGTTTTTCCTCAGGACCTTGTGATTTTCTTGGTCATTTTTCTTTTAAATACTTTAATTGGTATATAAACATACAACCAGCTAGCTTCCTCTGTGGTTCATTGCTTGACATTAAACCACCTAGGCACAAGTTCAGATGCTGGAAGACCAAAAGAAAGTATATAAACATACAAACATTTTTTCAGAATAAAATAAATTACTATGTTATGCATCTAAATAGATTTATTCAATAAGGTATGCGCTAGTGTTCCATATAGGACTTTTGAACCCTGCTTGGATCTATGATTACATGAGAGTTAGATTTCTATTGCAGAACATAACCATCAGTCAGAGGATGGATGAGATAATACAGCTGCCTGTATCCCCTAATTATGTAGAGTTAATTGTTTACACATGCTCTGCTTTAAGAAATATCTGTGTGTGTGTTCTCTTTGTGATTTATACAAAGAGTTAGTTAACTGTGATCACTGATTGGCTGTCCTTAGAATCACCTTTTCAGGCCCCTTTTGCCAAAGAGTTCTGCTGACATTGGAGGAAAAACATCTAACTTATGACATGAAGTTGGTGGATCTGAAACACAAGCCTGAATGGTGATCTTCTGTTCCATATCTTTTTGTTACGTGTTCCAATCATACAGGGCTTTATATTAGCTGTTTTCAAGAATCTGAATCACTTACCGAGCACAGAGTGGCTTACTGGGTTGGTACCATTTTAATAGTTGCTTTATGTTCCTTGTACTGGTATAGGTTCTTAAAAATTAACCCAGAGGGTAGAGTTCCTGTGGTAAAACTCGATGAGAAGTGGGTTGCTGATTCAGATGTTATCACACAAGCATTGGAAGAGAAGTTTCCTAGCCCACCATTGGGAACCCCACATGAAAAGGCATCAGTGTATGTTTGATCAATTTGGTGGTATAGGCATCATTCTTCTAGATTTCCTAATTGTTAAAATAAAAGTACATTGCTTCAATGCAATGTAACACTTGTGCATAATGGGAAATGGGTTTGAATTCTTGGACAATTACGGGTTAAGCAATCTTACAGGAATCAATGCAGATATTTTCCTTCATGTGACAGTGATCTTGTGTCATTCATTTCCTTATTGTCACCTATTGTATTTGCCTGATACCAGTGCTGAGCTGGGCATTATGTCTATATGTAGTTATAGGGGATTTTGAATATTGAAGACATTTTCATTCTGGATTTTGTTGTCCACTAGATTTGAAATTGAGAAACAGATGAACCTCTGGGAGTACAAGTTTCTTTTTGATAAATTTAATTCATTTCATGCATTCTCTTTTTATGAGTGTAGTAATGGGACGATCAGGTCTTGTCACTTTACTCTCTCTGTTTCTGTTTTTTAATTTTAATGTTTAAGGTGTTAGCTTTCTTTGTTTGGTATATTACTTAGGCATACTTTATCATCCCGTTTTGTTCCCTGCTTGAACTTCCATTTTAATTTCTGCGTAAGGTCATTTACTTTTTGGAGATTGAATTATGATGTCAATAGAAAAATGGGTATGTCATTTATTTTAATGCATCTAATTTATGTTGCCTAGAGATGCATTTTTCAGATTTGAAGTTGGTTACATGACCTGGATTATGTATCTGTAGCATGCACACTTGGCATAGTTTCTAAGTTTGTTTTTCAATCTTGTAACTTGCTATGTAAGGTTAACTTGAATTACATGCTTAGATAAGTTATCTTAAATTTTGTCTGTAGTGGCTCAAAGATCTTTTCTGCATTCATTGGGTTTCTCAAGAGCAAACATCCAAATGATGGAACAGAGCTGGCCTTATTAAATGAGCTGAACTCTTTGAATGATTACCTCAAGGAAAATGTATGACTTCTTCCTGCTATCATCTCTCTCTCTCTCTCTCTCTCTCTCTCTTAATGCTTGCAATCTATGTTTTTTTTTTGGTTTAGAGATAAACCTGTTGACTGTTGTATGGCGCAAAGGAGACGTAATGGTTTGGAAAATTGGTTTGCAGTGATATTGTTACTTGCACTTTAAGAGTCTGGATTGTCTAGAGCTCTTCATTGTAAAGTTTGAAAATGGAGAAGAGAGGACAGGAAGCAGTTGTAAAATGAAATGGAACACTTTTATTCCTCGTGTCATTCTCTCCTCAAACTCTACAAGAACTATATGATGAAGAATTCTAAAAGATCCTTATACCTGTAATTCAGGTCTTGTTTTTTGAACTCAAATTTGTGCTTTGACCTTGATCAGATTTAAGTGGAATGATGAAGCACAGAATCCCTACTCTAATATACCTCTAGTGAGGTTGTTTAGAAAAAAATAAAAAATAAAAAAATGAACAGCCACTCAAATTCAGTGCTGTGCTGATGTTTAATTGCTTCCCCCTATGATATTTTATTTATTTATTTAACAATCAACATGCAGGTACATTTCTTCATTTTTGTTTAATAGACTAATTGATTAATGTTTTCTTTCCCTTTTAAAGGGCCCTTTCATCAATGGGAAAGACATATCTGCCGCAGACTTATCCCTTGGACCAAAGCTATACCATATGGAGATAGCTTTGGGGCATTATAAGAAATGGACAGTTCCTGATTCACTTCCCTCTGTGAAGTCTTATATGAAGGTATGTTCAGAATGAGCCTACCACCTTACCATGCTTCATAGCTTTTAAGCAAGTTCTTGACCCGTGTCTATGATCGTTTTGTCTGTTCCGTGAATGACCTTCGGTATTTTCTCTTGGAAGATATAATACCGTACTGGCACCTCCTTGATTTCACTGTCGGGTAGAATGAATCATTATTCATACAAGGTAGACTGAATCATTATTCATATAATTCTCTTGTACTGCAAAACTCCAGTTTCAAACCTTGAATGGCATGACTGACTATTTCAATATCTATATTTTTTCTGATGGTTTGATAAACGCCAGGACCTCTGATTATTCTGTGACATACATGTCCATAAGAACACTTGGCTAGTGGTTGAGAAGGCTTTTTAACAAGGACAATGAACTGAAATTGGAATTTCTTTGCTGCTCTAACAACACCTCCATTCAAGATGCTCCAACATCTTTTTGCATTAATTTGATACACGCTGTAGTCCACATTTGAGTATCATACTTGTGATTTTTTTTTTTTTTGGCTCAAATTGATTGATACTACCTCTGGGCCTAGTATTTACTAATTTCCAGCTGTTAATTTTAATCGGAAGTTCAGAAATTGAATTCTTATGCTGGGTTTTGTTACCTTGGCCTACTTTAACAATTCTGAACATGCCAGGTTATTTTCTCGAGGGACTCATTCATCAAAACACGTGCACAACCGCAGGATGTCATTGAAGGTTGGCGTCCAAAAGTTGAGGGTTGAACTGCTGATGCTGGTCTATCATCTTCATGAGGGTCTCTGGTCTTTACCTGATTCTACTGAACCACGCACACTAAGATTCCACACGTAGCTCAGTGTCCATTTCGTTTTGTACTATAATTTTGAGAATCACAATGGGCTGTTATTAAGATATATGTACAATTTTAACAATTCTAGGCTAGAAAATGAGGTGATGCCCAGGGGGTCTTGATTTTCCAGGACCAGGAGCAGCAGGAGAACCGCTTGAGAAATAACATTTACGTAGTCATTAAAGTGTAAGAAAAGCTGATGCACTTTGTTGGTGGGAATTGTCAATTTTTCAGAAAATTTGATATTTCACTTCAATCAGCTCCAACTAGTTCTGCAGGTGTGTTTAGGAAATTCACTTTTAACTTTTGGGAGTGCTTTTCCACATTTAGGTTAGGATGTGGGATGTTTAAAAAAATAAGGAGATGAAAGTACATCTTAAAATGCTTTGAAAATATTATTGAAAGTGGATTTGATAGGTGTAAAATAATATAGTTTTTGAAAAGTGAATTTAAAAATTGTAATGTTATTTCACAATGCTGTACTAAATTTAATCTCTTATTTTTTATTTAAAAAATTCATTTATTAAAATAACTATTATTTAAATAATAATAATTAGATATTAAATTTTTAGCATTATGAATTAAATAATTAATTTTATTAATTTTTAGTATTAATTTATAATAAAAATTATAAATTTTTATCACATTTTTAAAAATTACAAATTAAAAATTTCAAATAATTAGAGATTAATTTTTAGTATTATAGAACAAAATTTATGTTATCTAAAATATTTATTATATTTTTTATAAATATATTATATTTGTATAATAAAAATTACAACAATTATTAATCAATGTTTTTTTTTGATAATTGTACATTTAAAAGTACAATTTATTATCATAATTTAAATAAATTTTAATTTATTAAATTAATTTTAAAAAAATATATTTAAATGCAAATTTTATTATAATAACTATTAAATAAATTTTTTATAAATTAAAAATTAAACACACACTATATTTGTGTTGCCTAATCCGAGGATTGGAACCACAGACATGCCTCCGTACATTTAACAGAGGCACAAACCATGATGGACTATGCAAAATCCACACTAATTATACCTCAACCAGAATGAAAAATGCTACTTTTGTCTATTGGCAAAATAGTTAGCTAAGTGATACAAAGGAGCAGCCTTTTCAGCATCAAAGTAGGAAAGTTCAACTAAAGCCTTATCCAATAACTCGCTCGCAAACTTCTTAGCCCCATCCACACCAATCAGTTTTGGATACGTAGCCTTATCACATAACAGATCCTTCCCTGCAGTTTTTCCTAATTCTTCAGAAGATTTGGTCACTCCCAATATGTCATCCACTACTTGATACATCAACCCTATAAATCTTCCATACTTCCTCAATCTCTCTACTTCATTCTCACTTCCTCCTCCCATTATTGCCCCACACACAGCCGAAGCTTCAACTAACTTTGCTGTCTTGTGGGTATGGATATACTCCAATTCACTCAAAGTAACCATTTTCCCTTCGCTGTTCAGGTCAAGAAATTGCCCTCCAGAGAGCCCTTTTGATCCTGATGCTGAACCAAGCTCAGAGATAGCTTGTAACATTCTCCTGGGTGAAACGTTTGTGGTTTTATCTGCTATGTGTTGGAAAGCAAGACAGATCAGAGAGTCGCCGCAGAGGATTGCCGTGTCTTCGCCGAAGACCTTGTGGTTCGCCGGCATGCCTCTCCGGGTTTCGTCGTCATCCATACAGGGAAGATCATCTTGAATGAGTGAAACAGTCTTGATCATTTCAATAGCACAGGCCACAGGCATTGCTGAGGACTCTTCTCCTCCCACAAGCTCACAAGAAGCAATACATAAAACAGGACAAACTCGCTTTCCTTCTGAAAGAAGAGAGTACCTCATAGCCTCAGTGAGTTTTGTTGGATGATGCAGAGGCACTGCCTCATCAAGTGCTTTGTTCACCCTTTTGGCCTTGGCGGCCATGTACTCCTTGAACTGAAAGTTACAGACATGGTCGGTGACCTTCATGTTTGTCGAAAATAATTTGCCCTGACGGTGGATGAATCGGGATGTGATGGGAATTTTGCTTGTTTTGAAACCGTTAAGGAGGTTGTGAAGAGAAGACGACCTGAAGCAGGTGGGTATGATTGCAGGAGCCATTGACTTCGGCTTTTCTCTCTGAAGAAAAGAAAACCTTTCATTTCACGGCGCTGTGGTTCTCTGTTTTCATGCCGTCAGATAGAGCGACTTCAGGTTCAGGGCTGCACGTGATTGCACGTGGGTGCCATCTCAAGAGTATTCAGCGGCTTCATTTCAACATTTAGTTTAATGTTATTTTATTTTTTATATTTTTAATAACTTTTATTACTTTCTTGCCTCAAATCATAAAATATTTTTTAACAAATTTTATATATCAATAAATTTTATTAAATATATTTAATAACTTAATTTTTTAAAAAATAAAAATATAAATTTTTAAAAATATCCTTTATTTAATATATTAAAAAATAACAAAGACAAACTTAGAGAGAGATAATAATATTAAAATAAGTATATTTAATAAAATTTTAATTTTTTTTAAAATATCTTATATTTTGAAATGTCAACATTTTAAAAAAAGTATTTTATAATTTGGGATGGAAGGGGTGTAATAGATGTAGAAATAATTGTTTAACTATTATTCCATAAAAATAATTTATTATTTAAAAATATTATAAATTTAAAATGTTCAAATCAATTTAGATAATTAAAAAGGAGAATTTCAACAAGGACCTTCAAAATGAATCATTTTGTTGTTAGGATTCAATACATTTTGAAAATACATTGCAGGTCTAAGGTCCTTTAATGTAATAAAATTTCAGGTTTTAATTACCAAAATATCCCAACTTTCTTTTTTTGTTAAAAAAAAAAGTCCCTGTCATTGCCAATGGCCGGATTGTTGTTGCCGACCATCGAAGCTTCAGTGTTGACACAAGGTTCAGACAATGGTCAAATGTGCCAAGGGATTAAGGGTAGATACACTTAATTCCTCAAAATGAAGGAAACTTTTGAACTAACAAACACTTTAATATATATAATACAAAACAATATATATATATATATATATATTATATTATATTATACCAACAAACACTTTAACATATATAGTGCAAAACACACACACACACACACATATATATATTATAATTTTAACTTTCAAGAGTTTTTATTTGTTATTGCATATTCTAGATATTTTTTTATTTATATTTAAATAATTGCTTATAAATATTTGAATATGACTTGTTATATTTCAACTTATTCTATTTTTTTATAACTTATTTCCTTAAATGTTGACAAGTTATTAATATTATGTTAAATAAATAAGTATATATTTTAAATTTATTTTTCAAGTATTTTTATGGGTTTTTGTTAATTATAGGCATTTTTTATTAATATCCGAATAAAAACTTACAAATATTTAAATATGACTTATTTATATATTAAAAAAAGTTGTCAATACAATTAAAAAAAAAAAAAGGCCCATACACAGCTCCGACAGTCAGTGAGGTGGTGGCTCCAGCGGCCGGTGACAAGAACACTTTTTTCTTATTAAAAGGAAAGAAAGACAGGCATTTTGGTAATTGACACCTAAAGTTTTATTATATTGAAGGACTTTAAGCCAACAGTGTATTTTTAAAAAGTATTGGGCCCTAACAATAAATAAGTTCATTTTGAGGGCCCTGGTGAAATTCTCCAAATTAAAATTTTATCATGACCACTGAAAAACAATAAAACATGACCATTTCATTTCATTTTCATTTTATGGTGTGTCGGATGTTGCCCTTGCCCCACATAGACTCTCAACAATTTTAATGTTTATTTGAAAAATAATTTATTGTAACATATATTTTTGATAAAGAAAACTTAGAGAACATATAGCGAAGACAATATTTTCTTTTATTCAAGGGAAAAAACTTCAACAACTTCGACTTATAAGTTTCAGTAGCCATTATTTTAAAACGAAGAATGACATTAAAGAATTAAAATATTGAATTAAGCTTAAATGATAATCTGAAGATTTGAAAATTCAATATTTCTTAAAAAAATGTGGTAAATCCTCTCAAAATCCAAAGCCAAAGTTGGCATAACATGATTTCTTCCTTAAACATAAGCATCTCACTTTTGAGTTGATAAGAAACAAGAAAATTGGTATGTTTGGCAAGTTGCTAGACACAAATTTAGATTATCAAAGGGAAAATAACCCGAATGCTTCACCCAACCCTCTCAAATATTGCTTGAATTAGAGGGTTATAGTGCTCAAGCGAAAATTTATAATTGTTTCTTAAATCTTGTCAATATTTTTTAATAAATATATAACACACACACAATTATTTTTTGAACCTCCTTCCTACACTGAAGTCATCCATCGTATACAACATTAACAACGCAACAGTTTGTCAAAAAATGTGGGGAATAGTTACTCAAGGTTTCAGAGATGGAACATGCTTGTGGGTTTTTTTCTGAAGAGGCATCTGATAGTTTTAACATATTTAGATTCAAGATACAAAAGCAGAGATTTGGCAGATTTGGCCTCTAACATACAAGAGGATGGTTTGATGAATTGCTTACTAAGCCCTAAACTCCTATAAATCATCCATTCAAATTAATACAATTCTTGTCCATTGGAATTCCATGGAATTACTTACCATCAGGTATGGAATTACATGGCCCTATAACATAAATGAGTCTGACCTATCACCGGGAAAAGTCATTTGCTATTTCCAGGAAAATCAGTCTGAAACAGCAAGATGCAATTGATTCTGAAAAGCCACCTGCACTTCTATTTTGCACAAGCACAGTATCTAGGCTTACAATCCTAAAGAAGCCATTTCATTTTGAAAGTGAAGAGCTCTTGCCCTATCACCATTCTGCAGGTAGCTAGAAATTAATGTCTGATATGTAGTTGCATTGGGGGTTAGCGAGCGACTTTTCATAACCCTGAGATACTTCTCCGCATCTTCCAAATTTCCGTTACGACAGAAGCTCAGTACCAATGATGTGAAAACAGATGATCCAGGAGACAAAGACTTGTACTCCATTTCATAATACAGCTTGAGAGCTTCCTGAATCTCATCCTTTTTGGCATAACCCTCTATCAAATGAGAGTAGGTTAAATCATTGGGTACGAACCCTTTATCTAACAAGATTGTCAACATGGCATTGGCCTGCATCACATCCCCACTTTCACAGAGCTTTTCTACCATCTTATTGAATGCCAAACAACTGGGAATAAGCCCAATTCTCAACATTTGCTCATAGTTTCTCAAGCACTTCTCCAACCATCCTGTTTCAGCACATCCCATGATAAGATGATCAAAAGTCTCACGGTATGGCCTCAAGCCCATTTTTTCCATTTCTTGGATTAAAATTTCTGCTTCTTCAATTTTGCCCTCTTCACAGTACGCGCCTATAAATGATGTGTAAAGAAAACTATTTGGTTGAAAACCTCTTGTAACCATCTCTTCATATACCTCCCATGCTGAATCCAGATTTCCTCTTTTAACTTTGGCATATACAGTTAAAGAGTAAGCAACTGAATCAGCAATCATATTCTTTTGCAACATTCTCTTCAACATTACCATGCTTTCTTCAATTCTTCCCTCTTCTAAAACCCTGAAAATTAAGGTAGAGTTGACAATCACTGAAGGATAGCTTCTCTTCCCCATTATTTGATCCAATGTTCTTACAATTTTCTGCAACTTTCCTTCCTTGCATAAAGCATTAATCATGATACGCAATGTTACTTCATTTGGGTAAGTTCTTTTTTGAATCATATGCTCATAAATATCCCAAACCAGACTAGAATTATCAGATTTCTGAACAACATGAAGTAAAGTATTGAAACTTATGAGACTGACAGAGAACCCATGTTTTTCTACATAAAGGCATATGTCAAAAGCTATGAGAAACATTCTCAATTTTGCATAAGCCTGTATTAGCAAATCAAATACCAAAGGATCAGAAGCACAAACCTTATAGCTATCAAGCAGTGAATCCACAATCAAAAATCTCACAGAGCTGTCCTTATTTTTCTTCAGAAGTGATTCAAGTAGTGCTCGAGCATCCATGACCAACCTGGCTCTAACCAGAATATGGATTGCTATACAGTAAGGTCGAATCCCATGCTCAATGTTTTTCTTCTTTGTTGACCAGTGGAAAAAACCCAAAGCACTTGCGGCATCGTTTGGTTTCTTCAACTCAACCAGCACTCTCTCCACAACTGCATCATTCAATTCAAAAGAATCAAACTTTCTGCTAATGATATCCCAACTCCAGCCTCTTCTAAACGAATTACAAATTGCAGTAACGTCATCATTCGACGCTGCTTCCACATGAATCAGCTGGGCCAATTGGAAATGCGATTGAGGACAGGAAAAACGAATTCCAAAGAGTTTGAAGGGTTTGGATCCCAAAGATGCAGAAATTTGGTGCACCAGAGGCATGCTTCTACAACCCGAAACAGAAGAGAAGCTTCCCTTTTTCCTTGGTTTTCATGCATTATTTTAGCTTCCAAGAAAATAAGAATCAAAATTGCTAGTAAAAGCCTGATATCTCCATAATCCATGGCAGTTACTACTTGCCAAAGTCATTTTCTGCAATATCATATCAACAAATTCGGCCACATGCCATGTGAAGCACATAAAGGAGAAACTGGGCATGAAAAGTCGACAAGGCATACAATATTGAGTATTTAATGATGCTAGGATTTGATGCAATTCGCTTTGAGGAGGACCGAAGAGATATAGAAGCAGCAGTGTAGAGAAAAGGGGTAGAGAGTAATCAAATATCTTGGTGATCCATAAGTCCTGGTCAAGCCTTGCCGGCTGTTTTCTGTTGAGCAAGAGTAATGCCACAAGGAGGAGGAAATTAATTCCCGGCCAATATCACTGTTGTTGAGGGAATCTGAATCTCTACTACCAGTCTACCGCAAATGGTGCTACCTCTCTGCATCCAGAGAAAAAATGACGTTGTGTGGAATCAATTCACTAAGTTTAACAGCATTTAAAGGTGTAATTTCAGTTCATTGATTTTTTTTTTTTGGAACAGAAGTCAATTTTATTAAAAGTAAAAGTAAACGATTAATATGTATAAAAGGCCCAAGGAATTAAAAATTCCATGGGCCCAAATACAAGCACAAACTTAAAACAGAAATACAAGATGAAATACAAAACAAATCTGAACAACAAAAAAGAAAGACAAAAAAACTAACAGAAAGGGAAAAAACAAACACAATGAACATAACAGACAGTAAAGAAAAGACAAAGAACATGATAGCTCTGCTCAAGTCTTCACGCAAGAACCAGACACCATTGCGTTGAGTTGGAAGATTGCTTCTCAACCTCCATTCATTCGAACTCACTGAGGAGTTGAAGGAGTATGAAGCAAAAAGAGTGTTCCAGAAGGAAATGAGTTTTCTTCGCTAGCAAAGAAACGAAGGAAAAGAGAAGATAGTGTCCAGGAAGCTGCACTTGAACTTGATGAAGAGATACCCTGTTCGACCAAAACAAACTCATTTCAGCAGCACTGCAAGGGTTTCTGAGCGGCTGCTAAGAAACTCAGAAACCACTCTAATATTCATGGACTCTTGCGGCTGTTTGAGTCATCATCTGAGGTCAGAGTTTCATGAAAGAGAGAGCCACAAGAATCTGAAGCTTGAAGAAAATTATCAGAATTGCTGATTATTGGCACTGATGAAGAGGAATGAGGAAGAGAGTCGCCACCATCATCACTGTTGCCTAGAACTTGCATGACATGATGGGGGAAAAGCCTGATTTAAGCAAAAGTGCACGTGGCTTGAACAAAACAAATAGATAAGCCCAGGTGACAATTGTGCCTGCGTTATGAGGACATTGGGTATAAAAAACGAAACCAGAGGGCTTGAGATCCAATGATGAAGCTTTGAGTCCAAACTAGAATAAGATCTCGGAGAATTGAATAAACCAACTTTGAAGCATTTTCTTCTCACGGCCTAAAGCATCATGCAAGAAGACATCTGGAGGACTAATTCTCTGTGATTTTCACATTTCATCACTTGACAAGTCATGCCACTAAGCATAGAGATGGAGGAGTATTTTCACTCAAGACAGCTGGTACAATTAGAAGATGACACCTCAAAAGATTCATGCAAATGGACATCTGTCATAGAAGAAAGGTTTTCAAAAAAAATCGTCCCCACTGATATTAATTCTCCAGCCAGAGAAACTGCTTCTTGGAACATCTGATGAAGGAATGTTAGAACAAAAAGAATCTGGGCACAGAGAAAGTTGAATCTTTTGCAAAGCGGATCTTCTTGATAATAATAATTCAACTCCCAGTCATAGCGCACCATGATACTAAAATCAGAAAACCCGTGTATAAACCAAGAACAAACAAGCTCAAGATAGTGATTAGACAGAACTTCAGAACAAGAGCGCTCCACATGACCAATGCGTAAGCAGTGAAAGCAAATTCTGTCTAAACGTTCAACTTGAGCGAAAAAATCAAAGCAAGCACCTGATGCAAAAGTTAAAACACCATGAAATTTAAGCTTAGATGACAGCAACAAGCGAGCTTTTAATTGAAGCCCATAAGCATTCCATGGACTCTCTCGATCAAACTCCAAGAGAACACCAAAAAGATTGCCAAACAGTCGACCCATATCTAATGTATAAAGATCAACAGGTAAACCATAGACGTATAACCAAAGATCTACTGTTTGGAAAGAAACTGACTGAAGAGCAGTGAAAGGCTGCCATTCTTGCAAAACAATTAATCCAGCGTTAAGGAGCCAAGGACCATTATGAAGCATGCGAAGGAGATCTTCAGTCTTTTCAAAGCAAAGAGTAAATTTATTTTGTAGAAACTGAATCACAGAAATCGTTCCTTGAAGCTTCCAAAACTTATTAATATATGTATGCAACTTTGATGGATAGAATTTTCTACTGTCCCAAATAATACCATTCACATAGTGAAGCTTGTACCAAGAAGAGCGCCACCTTTGGAAACGACGTGAATCCATAACAGAAAGTTTAAAGCAAAGAACAGCAGAAAAGATGAATAAGAATGACGAAAAGAGAAACAAAAAACGAAGGAAGCTAAGACAACAGATAGACAGATCTCCCCTTTGGTTATTCAATTGAGGCTACTAAAAGCCATTCTTGAAGTGTTCAAAAGATTTCAAGAGCTAAACTTCGCCAAAACATTTTCTAAAGAGTAAGCAAACTAATTAGTGAGCATTACAAACAAACAGTTTCATATATCAATTTCAGATCAATGATGAAGCAATTAGATGACATAAAAAAAAATGCAGAAAAGAGAAATGGGAAAATGGAAAATCGAAGAAGCCATTAGATGGAATAAAACGATGAAGCAAAAAACACGAGAAATCAAAGAATCAGTTAGATGATATCAAATCAAACAAATCAATTCATATTTCAATTCGGAAGGAAAGATCAGTTCAAATTTCAATTCAGAACGAGAGATTGAACCAGGAAGTCAACATCTGGAATTAATTAAGATTGAAGAAGCAAGTCTTCAACGTCAAGTTCAAACCCACGATCTAAGCCTCATCCTCACATGCTGCCTTCCCGCGCCGCTGCCGAAACCCCGCCTCACTTGCACCGACGCCTCTGATCGTCGTTTCTTGAAGGGTTCCGTTCGCCGTGCATCGAGAAGCGGATGAGTAATTGATTTTGTGAGATTGAAGACAACGGTTATGATTAGAGAATCTCATTCAACGGGCCAGATTTGGCTTATATTAGCTAAACGGTGCGTTCCATTTTTTTTGGGGTGTGAAATCTAGTTTATTTAACTTAACTTTTGATTAAAATTAGATAAATGTAACAAAAAAACTTTATTTACAAAATCGTAGATTCAAATTTCATTAATAATGTGACAGTCTTGTTAGTGAATAATCTATAAATATTTTTATAAATTTGAAAGTATACCTTGATCTTGGCCAGCAAATAAATATTATTATTTTAAAAATAGTTTTTAAAAATTATTTTTGGTTTCCATTCTATTATTATTAAAATAAAATGTTAAAAAATATAAATTTCAATAAAAATAAAACCTAAACTGGGCATAGTGCACAAAACCGGTCTAGTTTTAAGTAACCAACAAGTGAATAAAGAAATAATTATATTTTGTGAATATTTTAAGAACCTTTTTAAAAGAAAATACTGAAAACTGAATCAGTCATTAAATTAATTAAGTTATTAATTCAAAAGTTAATAGTTAAAATATTATTAAATTAATCATAAACAAAATATCTTGTCAACTCGTTTAAAATACTGATTTAATGTTTATTAATTTTACTATATGGATTGAACTGAATTTCTATACTATTTACGGATATCATCATTTTAGCATTTTAGAAAACTTGATATTCAGGTGTTGTGGATGTTTCCTACGTGTTTTGTACTTTACGTCCCATGCTTTGTTTGCAACGTTGTCTGCGTATATACGTATCTGTATTTTACTTATGTATATTGAGTTGGCATAATTTTATATGCGACCGTAATATTTTTGCACAATTTTTTGAAAGGTTTACTATTTTAAAGAACAAGTATGTTCTTGTATCAAAAGAGGGGGAAAGACAGAATAAGTATGTCGAGTATTTGTCTAAAACCGGAAGCAAGTAAGTTGAAATACAATATTTAATTTAGTATTTTGGAAACTTTTAATAATATTTATTTGATCTCACAAGATTTAGATTCACCACAACAACAACAAAAATTTTTAGTTAAGTTGGTTGACTTTTTTAGGAATTATATATGATTGCTTCAATTTAAAAATTAAAAAGCATATGATCAAGAAAGAAATTTAAAACCAAAACACATTCACATAATTAATTAAAGACATGTAAATTATGTTTAGGCTACTTATCATTCAAGAAAACAAACCAGCAAGTTGGATCTATCATATTATTTTTACGAATCAAAATTCAATTCTTATTAAGATTGTTGTTTATATTTAATGTTTCACCTCAATCAACAAACATTTTCCATTATGTTTCGAATATAGTCAAAGATAAATCAATTCTACAATAAAAAAACGGAGAAATAATGATAACAAAAAATAAATAATTTCTTTCATTGTCATTTAACGAGAAGAAGCAAAAATAGAAGAACTCCATCCTTTATCCCCTGTAGTTCGCCTGACCCCAACCGAACGTCTGAACCATGGACTGAACCTGACCGCCTTGACCACACCTTTCTCCACGAGAGCTATAACCATGGACTCCCCCATGTCCGAACCCCTCCTTCCCTCCAATCAAAGCTTCCCATAAAATGCAAAACCCTCTCCCACCACCACCCTCCCTCCCTCTCCTCCTCCGCCGCTGATGTGCCTCCACTCCTGTCCCCTCACAAATTCCCCCGAATCTGGACGATTCCCGACGAAATTCGGTTCCTCCAGGGCCTCCACAACTCCGCTTCCCGCGGGCTCGTCTTCCCGAGAGACCTGCATATCTTCTACGACCGCTTCTCCAGCACCATGTCTCAGCCCTACACCAAGTCACAGCTCTCCGAGAAGCTCCATCGCCTCCGGAAGAAGTTCCGCGTGCTCTCGCTTCGTCTCGCTCTTGGACTCAACCTGTCGATGCTGTCGCCGCACGATCGGGCGCTCTACGATCTCTCCAAGAAGCTCTGGGCCCGGATTCCTCTTCAATTTCCCCATTCGTTGTCAATCCGGGCTTGATCAAGGTCGAGGACGATCCAATTAGTGGCTCGAATCTTGGTGAGGTGGTTGCGAAAACTGTAGTGGAGGTGTTTGATCAGTGTGTAAAAGAAGCGAGGATGAGTGTTGTTCTACACAGAACGCTTTCTCTGGCGGTGTCGATTTCTGGAAAAGGAGGGGATGTGGTGGATTTCGGAAAGCGGTGGGAGGAACAGCAGGCGTTGGAATTTGATGGGTTCGTCAGGCGTTTGAGATTGGTGCTGGAGAAATTTCTGCTTCATCACAATTGAACCTACCGAGTAGTAAAAATCTGCATAGAAATTTTGTATGCCACAAATGTTTGCTTTGCATTGGCTGGGAAGTAGCCATGGGCTGGCTGATTTGAGTACCGACTGATCCCACCGTTGTATACATCTTCCAGAGCTGCATGAGAAACTGGTGCCTGAAAAATTTGTGCTCGTAAAATTGGAAGAATGATAAAAAAAACTCAAAAAATTTATTAAATTGAATTTCAACTGTTAAACTTTAAAAATGCGTAAGTTCATTTTTAAATTTTATAATTTTATTATAATAAATTTATAATTTATTTTTAAAATTTTAATATGATTGAATAATAAATAACTTTATTTTTTATTAAAATTTAAAAGTGATAAATTTATTATAATAAAATTATAAAATTAAAACTTAAAATTTTAAATTTAGGAATTTTTGCACTTGAAATTTAAAAATAAATTAATTAATTTTTTTAAAATTTTTTGTATCATTCTTCGGTTCTCCCTGTAAAGTTTATTGGTGCTTGTGAATTCTCTAGTAATTTTTATCCTGCAGTTTATTGCTTGTATGTAAATATTAAATTAAAAAATATAAATAATAAAATATTATGCAAATTAACAATTTGCATCCTATAATTAATCATTTAGCCAAATATTAACATTGGCTAGACCAAGCTTACTTACTTTCACACCAAACTGAGTTCACCTTAGAGCCAATAATTTGAGCAAATTGAGTTTATGAGAATCAAGTTTAAACTATTCCATCTCTTTCAAAAAATTTATATAATTAAGTTCGGCCCTAATATTTTTAGGTTTCAAGTTTATTAGGACCAGTCTGAATATTCAAAACTTTTTAAAAATATTTTTTATTTTTTGAAGCAATTTTAATTTTTAAATAATTTTGTTAACTATAAAATATTGTTTTAACTTAAAAATAATAAACTATCAACTTTGTACTTAAGTGACTCTATTATTATTTTATTTATTATGTATAATTTATTTATAAATATTTTCTTTACTTGTAAATTAATGTCTTAATTATTTAAATATTGCTCTTATCATAGTCATATATAAATATTTTATATATTTTAATTAATTATGATTAAGTTAATCTCAATTCAAATACAGTTAAACTACTAACTTAAAATTATTATCTCGATTAGTTCAAAATTTTTAATAATTTTTGAATAAATTATACTTTTTATTTTTAAAAATATGAAAAAAATAGTCATCATTGAATTATATAAAACAAAATTATTTAATTTTGAGAAAAATATTATTTTTTTAATTATTTTTCCTTTAACTTTTTAATATTGTTTAACCCTTATATATAAGGATTCGTTACTCTAATTTATTCTCAATTTTTAACTAAGTCTTGGTGGAGGATAACCAAATAATTATTTAAAAATATTTTGTTATTTATTATGTTTATTTAGTAGTAGAGAAGAGAATTTGTATGTGTCCGAATTTTATTTTTAAAATTATTTTTATTTTAAAATTACTTTTCTTATTTTATAAAAAATATAAGATATATTTTTTTGAATATATAAATGATGTGTAGGACTCAAAAATTTTTTTAAAAAAATTAAATCTTAAAACATTAAAATATATTTTAAATATTATTTTAAGATATTTTATATATTAAAAATAATAAAGATATAAATTTTTTTAAAAAATAAATATAATAATGTACTCAAGTATATAATATTTTAGTATAAAATGATATAAAACTTAAAGAATTAATTAATATTTATTATATTTATATATTTTTAATTTTTTTATTCTAGTATTTAGGCCAAGTTTGAACTCAATCAAACTTGGTCTGAATTTTCTTGAGCCTATTCAATCCATCCCAAATAATGAAGAATATTAAAAGATTAATATTTTTTTAAGTTTAGCATTAAATTTTTGGATGAATTCAAGTTAACCTATCAACTTAGTCTAAATTACTAGCTCTAATTCACTTGAGCCAAAAGAGAGTCAGCATAAGTCCCTTTGCCTTCAAATACTAGCTAATCACATCCTCTCCACTGTGTCCAACTACTAATGGTAAATAAATGATTCCAATC